AGTAAGGAAACTCTGGATTTGAGCCTCAGATCAATCACCCCACTGGCTGAGCAACCTCTTCACTGCCCTCAGCCTCACTATTTGCATCTGCAAAACTGGTATAATATGAACCATCCCTGCTACCCCAGAGTGTTGAGCTAATGTGTATAATAGGGCCCTGTAGGTTGTAAAGCATTATTATTATTGTTTCTTTCCATTTATGGTAAATTTACTTTTGTGTAAAGTTTTACAACCAGATAGCTCTGTAGATATCATGATGATGAAAAGTTACAGTAAGTGTCTTGGTAAATGTACAGCCTACTTTTTCCCCAAACATGGCCATTTATTATTACTGAAGTATAAAGATTGTTCAGACACTTTTATACTTTAACTAATTCATTATTCTCTTTTGCATTATATTCAATCATCTTTCCACAATTACACTGAAACTTTCTTACCTTCAACTAAGTCATGTTGTTCTAATTGTCTTTCAATTAATGCCTGGTGTCAGATCAGCATTTGTCTGACAAAGAGCCATAATTTCCAGTGTTAAATCAAGCTTCAGGGATTTATATTCAAACCCAGGAAATATTTGCTGCGTGCTTGGTGCCAGATACTTGCTTAGGTATGGAGTATGTTGCAGTAAACAAAACACTCAAAAAATCCTTGCCCTTATGGAGCTTACCTTCTAATGAGGGAAAATAAATGATAACATAAATGAGATGCATAGTTTGCCATATGGTGGCTGCTTTAATGGAGAAAAACAGAGCAGAATAGCGGAATGGGATGCCAAGAAAAGCAGGTTCAATTTTAAATAGGCTTGGTATGGATACCTCCCTGATGAGACATTGGTGCACAGATCTAAAGAAGATGAAGAAGCAAGGCAGGTGAGTGGATCCCTGAAGAAAGTTAGATAGAGGGAAAGGTCCTGAGATGGGAGGGTGTCTGGTATGCCTTGAGGAACAGCAGAGAGGCCAGCTCGCTGAAAGTGAGTGAAGGACGGGGAGAGGCAGAATAGCAGAAGTTCATGGTAGACAAGCAACAAGGCCAGATTGTGCAAAGTCTTATAGGCCACGGAAGGGACTTCGGTTTTCCCTAGATTACAATGCAAAACAATTAAAGGGTTTGGAATAGAGGAGTTAAGTTACTTCATTTTTGTTTTAGAAATATTACACTGGCTGCTAATCGGAAACAGACTGTTGTGGGAGGGGAAGTGTGGAAGGAAGAACAGGAGGCTGTTGCTATTGTCCATAAGAAAGTTGATGGTGGCTTCGACCACAATGATAATGATAGAGATGATGAGAGGCCAAGAATCCTCAATATGTTTTGAAGAAAAATTATCAGGTTGCTGATTGATTTGATGAGAGTGAGAGAAAGAAAGGAATCAAACATGGTTCCACGATTTTTGGTGTTAGCGACAAATTAGAGAAGCCTGAAGGAAGAGCAGAAGTCAGAAAGAGGTGTGGGACTGGAGGTTAGAAGTTTAGCTTTGCACATTCTAAACTGGAGAAACCTGTTAGACTTTCACATAGTGATAACAAGCAGGCAGTGCAATACAGGAATCTGGAATGCAGAGAAGAGTTATGGAGTGGAGCTGGGCTCTTGTGAATGGATGAAGTCACCATGGGAGCCAGTACAGATGAAGAAGATGCCCAAAGAGTGAGCTCTGAGGCTTTCCAGAACTACATGAGGGGATGAGGAAACACCTGCAAAGGAGACAAGAAGGAGCACGCAGTGAGGTAAGAAAAAAACAAGGAGTATGCATTGTCCTGGGAGGCAAGTGAAAAATGTGTTTCAAAGTAAGGAAGCGGTCAGCTAAATACAGCACTGCTGCTGGGGCAGGTTAGACGAAGGTTGAAAACTGGTCATTGAATTGAACAACGTGGTGGGCTTGGGTGACATTGACAGGAGCAGTTTTGGTGGATTGCTAGGGGCCAATGCCTGACTATATTAGTTCAAGTAAGAATGGAAGTTGGAGCTGGGCGCAATGGCTCACACCTGTTAATCCCAGCACTTTAGGAGGCCGACACCAGTGGATTGTTTGAGTTCAGGTGTTTGAGACCAGCCTTGGCAGCATGGCAAAATGCTGCCTCTACCAAAATTACAAAAATTAGCCAGGCATGGTGGTGCATGCCTGTGGTCCCAGCTACTCGGGAGGCTGAGGTGGGAGGATTGCTTGAGCCCAGGAGGTGGAGGTTGCAGTGAGCCGAGATCACACCACTGCACTCCAGCCTGGACGACAGATCCAGACCCTGTCTCAAAAACAAAAACAAAAACTAAAGAATGGAAGTGGGTAAAGTTCAGTACTAAAATAGTTTTCACTCTTTGACACTCCAGATTTGCAAGTGGCTCTTTCATTCATAGCCACTCTTGTTCTTACTAAATATTATGAAACAAACAAACTCTGTTATTGAGTTTGCATTTACAAAATATATTATAAAAATCATTATATATCACCAAAAATGGAAAATAAAATAGACAATTATAAACCATAGCATAATAAACTCATTTATATAGATAATGTAATCCATACAAGTGTTCTCAAATTTGGGACTCAGTTTAGACAGTACCCTTAAAAAATGTTACTAGCCATCAAAGGAATAGTATCACCCTCTATGGCCAACTTTAAACTTACTCACAAGCCTCCAGCAAATTCCTAGAATAGTCTCTACTTTCAAAATTAAAACAGACACAGAATGTTGCAGTGAGAGCTTGCAAAAGAGGACAGAAGATTATGATGACAGTTTTATGACTGTTACTTTACCCGGAGTACTCAAATTTAATTGGAAAGTAAGTCAATTGTCTTTGAAACTATTCTAGGAATTAAGTAATTCTATTATAATCTGTATTATCTCCACTGTTTCCATGAAAGTTTCAAATAAATAAACACAGTTGCCTGATACTTAGGTATAATAATATGTTGCTTTTCAGTGGCAGGATGCTTTTAAAGAGCAATTTAACAAGCGTCAAGTTAGAGACCTAGAGTTTTCAGTGCTATCTGGATATCAAAAAGATTTGAAATGATGATGCATCACAGTTATTTCTGCAAAAGGCAACCTTGCTAATTTAGGAGTGTGCAACATGTTTCTATTGTCCATCTTTCAGTACCTCAAAATTCAACACTCATTCCTTTCATTGTGTAAACCAGTGTAAACCACTACTCCAGAGCTGTCTTGTCTATACCTGTGCTCATTTCACTCTAGCCTTTTGGGCTTAAATTGCTTTCATAGGCAATTAAGTTTGGTATATGACCGAAAATAGGCTTCTCTTTTTCAAGCCTCCACAGGTATCTGGAACAATCCCTCTGATCTTCCATCCAGCAGTTTGTCACGTTTTCTCAAAAATTAGCCAAAATATGGAAAACCTTTAGGAACAAGGTGAAGTGAGATAGTTAGGTCCACCTCTCTGTCAACCATGTCTGCCCTTGAAGAACTCATAATGTTATTAAGTGAGGAAAAGAAAATGATCAGTCCCAATTGGCCTGAGAAATTTTCAGTTTTTAAATTGGAAAATTCTTACCAAAGGAAAAAAATATATAAAAGAACATCTGTCATTATACAAAAAAATAGAAGAAGGGATATGAAGGAATGTAATATATACCTAGAAATACAGGAAGACAGTATATTTACAGCATAATCTTCATTATTTTACCAAGATAAGAAAGTTTGAATACAAAGAAATAAGGTAGAGGTAGCAAGTTACACATGCCCATCATTCTGATTAACTTGTGGTCACCAAATATAACTAATGTTATTATAACCAAAGAAAATGAACTCATCATTTGAGGAATAGCTACATAGTACCTGCTCGAAAGAGCTCATGGCCTATTGAGGGAGACAGAATCTTAGATATATAATTATAATGAAATGCATTTAATGTATTAACAGATGTGGTATATCCCAAAGAGAACAAGATAAAACTTTAAGAAAACTCTGAAAATAGTGTTTTAATTAAGGGAAAAACATGTGCAATAAAGGCCTGTGCTTTAAAAAGGCTTGAAATGTAATGTAGCATTAGATTATGGTGGTGTTTTCCAGGTTCACTTTACAAGTAAAATAGTAAAGGCTGTCTGAAGCTCATTTTTGATCGCTCACTATATAATCCTATGAAGACGACGATACATATATAACTGCATCATAAAAAAATCAAGAGATAAATATGTTGGACTGGATTGCTGTTCTTACTTTTCCAGAGTATAATTTATTTTACTCTTAGGATGTATAAATTTTCTTCAGGCTGTATGTTTAAAGACTTGGAATTTCATGTAAGCTACAGTGAGGAAAGAATTTTTTTTCAATTTTAAAAATTAACAAATTTTTTGGTACACCACACTTTATTTCAATATTGGCATGTTTCAATGTGTTTTGCTTCAAAGACACATATATAACTATCAAAAAATATAAACATAGGCTTTAAAATAAGGAAACAATTCCTATGATTCAAGTGGTCACTCAAAATAACCCTAACTTTGTGGAAAAATGTCATGTAAGCCTCAAAATACTCCTTTCTTTACTGTGTTATCAGATTAACATGGATCTGCCTCACTTACATGCTTCCTACACTAAAACTTGGGAACTCTTTATGGATTTATGAACTCCAAAGAGATTACAAGTATTGTCTACTTTGTAGGGCGCTGTAGAAAATAATGTATTTTATGGTGATAGTATGCCTTATGAAAATAAATATTATCTTAGATCACTTTACAGACTATGAATATGCTCTTTGTTCCTTTATGTATCTTATATCAAATGAAATTCCTCTTTTTCAACTCCCATAACTTTGACATCTGGAGAAAATTCAAGGATATCAAATTCAGATAGCCTGTGTCCATCAACTGGTCAAAACCGCCACCTACTGGTCAATTTTTGAATCTATTTTTCAGTTCATCCAAGCATTGCCCTACCATGGTAAAGTCCCCTTCTTCAAAACGGTAAAGATCATTTACAATAACAGGCTTACAGCAAATATTCTTTTAATAAAAATGCTCTAGGGGTGAACCAAAAGTTACAAATTGCACAAACCTGCCAATAAAATCATCCCTTTTCCCAGCATCTTTGTCCCATGCAGTGATATCAATGATTCCTCCTCTTTCTTCATAAAGGTGAAAATCAAATTGTTCCCTCCACTGAGGATTCAACGTTTTTGGCATAATCTGGAAAAAAAAAATCATTATTGTCATATTGCTAGCAGCTTAAAAAAAAAAAAAAAACTTCAACCTGAGACACTAAATCAAACTTTTGGTACTATAGTATCTAGAAAAGCATACTGTGTGCTATTTGAAAAAAAGATTACAGAAATAATGGAAATGACTCATTCGATCTCCAGCATCCTTACTGAGTAGTACCTGAATGGACCTTAATGGATGTGTACTGAAAATCAAAAGATATCCTTTGATTATCTTAAGTAGCAGATAAGATATATAAACTATGTATAAGAGGTAATAATCTATGAAAGAAATAGCTCACTCGGATACTAGCAATATTTTACATAATCATAGTTAATACATTAAAATATAACTCATAGTCAGTCATCTCATAATAAAAGAGGATGAGGATTTTCAGAGTGTTTTTTTTCTTACTTGCCATACACATTGGAATCCTGACTTGAGTACATGAAAAACACACAGTGAATTTCTGTGAGAGTAGGACAAAAAAGCAAGTAGCTTTTGGGTGGTCAAACTTTTATCTTAGACTTACAGCACTGATGTAGTATCTCATGTTATAGATGGATAAGCTGAGACCTAGAGTTTAAGTGACACACCTAAGGTCAGTATGTTTTAGCATTTAGACACTAACTCAAAGTCTTGGATTAAAGCTTCAGAACTCGGCTGGGTACGGTGACTCACGCCTGTAATCCCAGCACTTTGTGAGGCCAAGGCGGGCGGATCATGAGGTCAAGAGATCAAGACCATTCTGGCCAACATGGTGCAACCCCGTCTCTATTAAAAGTACAAAAATTAGCTGGGCATGATGGCACTTGCCTGTAGTCCCAGCTACTGGGGAGGCTGAGGCAGGAGAATTGCTTGAACCTGGGAGGCGGAGGTTGCAGTGAGCCAAGATTATGCCACTGCACTCCAGCCTGGCGACAGAGCGAGACTCTGTCTCAAAAAAAAAAAAAAAAAAAAAAAAAAAGCTTCAGGACTCTTCCCCCAAAACCATATGCGAAAAATGTTTGCGAAATAATAAATGAATATACATGAGTATATATGTATGCATACATATATGTGGATATACTCTTTGTGTTGCATATACAAGAAAGATATCTGAAATGTAATTCTGTAACTTCAAGTATTCAGATAAGTCATCTTGTACAGTAGAATCAACGAACAAAGTAACCTATATTGATAGGAACGGAATTTTAAAATTCATTCACCACTGGGTTAAACAACATTCATATTTGTTTCCTTGTTCTTTCTTTTTAGCAGGAAGGCATGAAGTGGCCTTTTCTCTTTTTAATGTATGGCAGACAGATCTTCAGATGTAAAGTTTGAAAGCAATGAAGTATGTTATATGCAAAGGTAATGCAAATGAATCACAATTTTTAAAGTTCATAATCTGAAATTAATCAGCAATAGATCAAGGAAAGAAAGAGCAAAGAGAGACACATGTCCATTGCTGGGTTTCATATTTCATACCTAAAGAGCAGAACTATAAAGATAAGTAATGTTTGAAGCCTAGTAGAACATGGAAATGGTGCTAACTAAGAAAGGACAAGACAGAAGTGGTCATAGGTACCTATTTTTGGAATCAGTAGCTACTTTAATATATGTTATTAAGCCCCATGGCAGAAAAAAAATGGCACTGAATGAAGGCTATGATAATTTAAATGTCTTATAATCAGGCTCAGATGAACTCCTATGGTATTTTGGGGTGTGGTCTGTCTTTACTTATCTGGCCTTAAACAGACTAAATTTCCATTTTTCTCTTTTAGGATTGCCTTCCCTATATGATTTCCTTCAGTTCAGATATAATGCCTTTCCTTTCCATGTGGGCACTCCAGCCAGCCTGCTAGCAGTACTCACTGCCTGCTAATGATGGGCTCTGTGATATTTCTAAACTACCTTAAGTACTAGTGAAAACTTCCTGGGCTGGAAGGGACTTAAGCAGGCTGTTTATCAAAAATCTATAGAAATTATGACACTAAGGTGAATAAATGCCCATCGGAATGGAATGTGATCTTTAATACAAGATGGATATGATCAGTTGTCCTAAGCTGTCTATGAATAACAGCTGTAAAAACTGACCAATAAAGAGGACATAGTTCATTAAAACAGAGATAAGATGATATGGTTTGGTTCTGTGTATCAACCAAAATCTCATGTTGTATTGCAATCCCCACATGTTGGAGGAGGGGCCTAGTGGGAGATGACTGAATCATGGGGCTGGATTCTCCCTTGCTGTTCTCACGATAGTGAATGCGTTCTCACAACATCTGGTTGTTTAAAGGTGTGTGGCGCTTCCCTTTTCACTCTCTCTCGCTCTGCCATAGAAAGACATGCTTGATTCCACTTTGCCTTCTGCCATGATTGTAAGTTTCCTGAGGCCTCCCAGCCATGCTTCCTGTACAGCTTGCAGAACTGTGAGTCAGTTAAACCTCTTTTCTTCATAAGTTACCCAGTCTCAGGTAGTTCTTTATAGAAGTGTGAGAATGAACTAATACATAAGATATGTGCCAAAAATATAGCTATGAGTACTAGACCCTTATTCATTATTACTTATATCACTAATATTATTGTTTAATATATTATTACTGCTAATATAATTGATACTATATGATATCTTTCTTACTACTGTTGTTACTCTTCCTCTTCTGCTATTTTCATTTGCTGAGTCATTATGGACAAGGAAGTATTCTAAGCCCTTTAAATGTATAACTAACGTATATTCATTTAATCTCAGTAACTCTGTTAGGTAGGCATTATTTTAACTCTCATTTTTACAGATGGGAAAACTAAGATATGGAGAGACAAAGCAATTTGTTCTAATAAATTTTAAAATTTGCTATTTGCATTGGTACAATTCAGGTTGGATAAAGTGTCTAAGAGTAATGTATGAAGATTTTTATGGCATGTAAAATAATGCTATTTGTAATACTGATATTAGCACTAGTTGTAATAATGTTAAAAGCTACACTCTTGGGAGGCCGAGGCGGGTGGATCACGAGGTCAGGAGATTGAGACCATTCTGGGCAACATAGTGAAATGCTGTCTCTACTAAGAATACAAAAATTAGCTGGGCGTGGTGGTGCACACCTGCAGTCCCAGCTACTCGGGAGGCTGAGACAGAAGAATTGCTTGAACCCAGTAGGCGGAAGTTGCAGTGAGCCAAGATCGTGCCACTGCACTCCACGCTCCAGCCTGGTGACAGAGCGAGACTCCATCAAAAAAAAGAAAAAAAAAAAAAAAAGCCACACTCTGAGTACTTTATGTGCCAGGCATGAACTATGTGTTTTCTGGGTGGCTGTTACTGTTTTAATCCTCAGAGCTATGCCAGGAGATAGTTCCAACTATTATTCCTATGTTGTAGATGAAAAAATTGGGACACAGACAAGTAGTTTATGTGAGGTCACCTAGTACCTGAATGAAAAAATGCTATACAATTATTGGTCTTGTTTGCTGACATGTTGTTTAAAAAAGTTTGTTAAGCATTTAAAAAATTATCTAGTGGTTTCATCTCCTAAACCAGGGCTATTAACCAATCAACGCCTTCCAAATATTGACAGGAACACAACAGAGATATGGTTACCTTGCTCTTGTACTTCTGATGCCCAAGCCGGAACTTCACGTAGGGATCGCTCAACCCATTGGAATCCATGGCCTTGAGGTCTCTCCCTTCAATCAAGGTGATGCTGACTATTCCTCTCCAAAGATGTGATTTTCTGTGTAGGTCTGATAGGCGTAAACTTTGGGTCTGAAACTTTTGGCAAATGAAATTGAGTTAGGTTATTGTGTTTTAAACCCAAATACCTCATTTTGGCATTACCTTTTCTCCTGTTATGATTCTTCAAAAAATAAAGGATAGACAATTATAATTTTTAAAATTAAAATAATTATGAATTATTGTTTGTTAATTATAAAATTAATAAATTATGAAATTATCATCTCATGATAAATTTGTTAGGTAAAAGTGTTGAGTGTTCAAAATACAGCCTAGCTTTTCAATTCTTAAGATTACATGATGTAGATACTTCAAGAATATCAGAGAATATTTGCATGTGTGCCAAACAGGCTTATACCAAAATATATACACAATAAATGTTAGAAATATCAAAGGCCTCATTCATACTGTGGTATTTAATTTTTAAACTATTTGTGGTTTTTGAAGATCTCTTTGTTTATGTTATAAACATATTTTAGGGGTGGTTTTTAATTGGAAGATTAGTTGCAAGTGCTATTCAGATAGTTTAAAAACTTCTTTCTTGCCACATTTGGAGATTATTAAGCTTCAGATTACTAAAGGACAATTTAAGTTACCACAAAATAGAAAACAAAATCAATACGCCCATCTAAGATGTCTTGCTTATACCTAAAACTTTCATCACAAATATTTAAAATGTTTAAAGTTACACTGTGATTTATATTGGCAAGTATGTTTCTGGATTTATTTTACATTTTAGTATCTGAACGTTTTCTTTAATTACTTTTAATATTCTTTTTTGTTTTGTTTTGTTTAGAAACAGAGTCTTGCTCTGTCACTCAGGCTGGAGTGCAGGGGTGTGGACATAGCTGACTATAACCTCAAACTCTTGGGCTCAAGTGATCCTCCTATATCAGCCTCCCAAGTAGCAGCCTCAGGCATGCACCACTGCACCCAGCTAATTTTTAGTTTTTATTTTCATTTCATTTGTTTGGTTTTGTTTTTAGAGAAAGGGTCTTGCTTGCTTGACCAGGCTGGAGTGCAGTGGCGTGATCATAGCTCACTGCAGCTTTGAACTCCTAGCTTCAAGTGATCCTCCTGCCTCAGACTCCCAAAGTGCTGGGATTATAGGCATGAGCCACCACACCTGGCTTAGACTTTTATTAAAATTGGCAAGTCTACTAAAAATGGCCATATAATCTCTTTAAACTAAAAAGGACATAAAACAAGCCATAGAAAGTAACTAAATGTGAAAACATCTTCAATCTGGATTCAACATCAAGCAGTACTATAAAAATGGTTTCTTTCATATTATCAAACATATTTTTTCTACTTATAGTCATTTCATGAAGAAATTCGACGTTCCTCTCAACCTCAAAGTACACTTCTAAATTATGGATTAGCATTACTTTCTACCTAATCCTGTCTACATTAATGTTACAAAGTTACAGTCTATTTTGTATAACTCTCCCTCCCACTTTGACTTCCTACCTTTTTCCATACCAGAGCAACGCCATCGGTATTTTTATCGTCATCATTTCACAGTGCTTCTATTAGGAAAATGAAAACTACATTCTCCAAAAGATAATACTTCTAATACTTGAACATTTCAATGAAAATCTTTGAAAATCCCATTGCATATTTTCCTGCCTTGTTGAACACAGCACATTTTGAACCTTGCCTGGTGGCTCTGCCCTATGAATATCAATGCAGACCTTTGTCTACACACTCTTCATCCCTGTGAGCTTCAAAAGCAGCATTCAAATGTGATCTGAAGTGTAAAGGAGAATTCATGGAGCACCTACAAGTTCTGCAGAACTCCACGCCCTCTTCAGCTGGAGCCCCACTGCTCCCGTCTGTTCCATATATTGAATTTCCACATTGGATTTTGATGAACAGAGGATTTCTCAGATGAAAGTAATTGTTTAGAATTTGTTGCACCCAGTTATGGCTAAGGTCTTTGTTTTAGTTCTAAGATTTCATGCAACTTATTATTATATAATCCAGTCGTAGATTTTGGTGTATGACTGCTTGGTCTGACCACTTCTGCTGCTGTTGAGACTGCCTCTAACAGCAGACTCTAGGGAATCGGGTTTTAAACTTCGGACTGGAAACTTTTTTAAGGAACATGAGTAGCAAAGAAGGAACCAAAGAAAACAAATGCTGTAGCAAGCAAGAAGAAGTAATTATTTTAGAAAAGATCAAGGAGTTAATAGCTGCCAACTAATACAGAGCTTTAGAATTTAAAAATGTACTTGTCTATATCACAACGTTTGGTTCCCACAAAAACCCCATGAGGTCAGAAGGCAAGGCTTCTTAGCCCCATTTTACTGATGGAACTCAGAGTGGTTGTGCT